GAAGTAACTATATTAGAAGGAATATATCACATGTATCCGTGCCTGTGTGTGTGTGTGTGTGTGTGTGTGTGTGTGTGTGTGTGTGTGTGTGCCGTTTGCGCCGTACGTGCGTTTATCTGTGCGTGTGTACTGTGCATACGTGTACACATCTCCGTCTGCATTCTTCTCTCTCCTTTCTCTCCTTTCTCTCCTCTTTCCTTCTACATAGTTCTGTGTGATACATGTTACATCAAAGCTTTACATATTGTTACAGGACTGTGACATGAATCCACGTGAATGACAATATGAAACGACAATTGTGTAAGTAGGTATAATCGGCGAGCTATAGCGGCTGTTTAAACTGCTGTCGCCACTCGTGTAAAACAACTATTTTTACTTTATATATGATGACTCTAAAAAGCTAAAACTACTTGTCACAGATTGTCCTTGAGAAAAACACATGTCCTTGAAATGACATTGAAAAAATAATTCACACTTTTGTGGGAACCGTGCAGTATGTATACATGACAATTATATTATCCACTGCTGCCCTACCATGTAACATAACTCGATATGCTATTATAGTATAATAGTATATTATAATTAGTTAAATGTGCTGCTAACCTCGCATCAGACTTGGTTTGACCATAGATATATACAGGAGTGTCATAACACATAGCATATTATGACACTTCTGATATATGCAAACACGCTTGTATACATGTGCATACATGATACATATGTCTCCTGATATGTATGATATATACGTGTTTGTATATAAATATGGCTGGACCAATGTAAGGAAAGAAGTGATACAATATTCAAAAGCAGAAGGAGCAGTTTTCTGGAAGCATCTGAATATATTTTTGTATATAATTAACACCACAACATAACACCGTATAGTTCGGTCTCACAGACTAGAATAGCAAGCGCCGCCGTACGGCCAGCCACTACACGCGGCACCTAACCAATCACAGATGCCCAAATCTGCGCGTCACAGAGTCGACGCGAAGATTTCACAACGTAAACTTGACAAATTACGACAATGCAGAGTGGGCAACCGGCTAAGTGTGAAGTGCAGCAATCACCAATCTCCCTGCTCTCACATGCAACAGTAGGGGTCAACATGCAACAGTAGGGGTCAACATGCAACAGTAGGGGTCAACATGCAATAGTAGGGGTCAACATGCAACAGTAGGGGTCAACATGCAACTGTAGGGATCAACATGCAACAGTAGGGGTCAACATGTAACAGTAGGGGTCAGCAGCCTAACCTCCTGAAAACTTACGCGAGGTGATTCTGCAATACAGAATTGAGATAGCAGGGAAGACGAGGGTCGTTGTGTGGTGGGGGGATCGTAAGGGCAGGATGGCGCAAGGCGAGGACCAGCCCAAATCACCTTGCAGAAATCGAAACGAAATGACCCCCACCTCGTCGTCATTCGACGTGAAATCACGCTGGGCAGTTTACGCTGCGCACGCAATCTCTAGACGATTCCTGTGTGCGCGACGGGTCTAGCGCCTATAAGCTCTCATTACTCTGCATCGCGGAGTCGTACCTAGCCAAAATAATGGCTTCCCCACGTTACGCACATCCTCCTGCAAATTCCCCTGCACTACTATCTCACCCACGGGGAGCAGGGTAAAAAATACACGGGAGCGATGAGCGATTGAAATGTTGAAAATTTGATGAAATTTTTGACGACAGCTATTTTTTCCACACACTTTTGAAAAAGAGCTCCCGTGAAAAAAAGTTATTTTTCCCCTGACGGGAAGACATCACGCGACCACCTGAACCGGCAGGTGTGAACGGCAGCTCCCCATCAACAACAGCGCAGTCACCACGGCAACACGTGGATGTGTAGAGAAGGCGCCACCTACCGGCATTAGCGGTACTTGCCTCGCGCTGCGAGCTGCCGTGTGACGGTCATTTCGAAACTTTCCGCAAAAAAAATCTTTTTTAAAAGAAACAACATTGTTAAAATGTGATTTACATCAATATATACACGTAAAGTATAAAGTAGGAAATATAATATAATACATATATATATATATATATATATATATATATCGCTTTGACCATTTGAAGCTTTAAATGGGAAGTGAAGCTTTCACGGTAGTTAATAAATAACATATTGTCCCGCACACTTTATGTGCAGTTTTATACACATAGACACATTCCGAGATTTACAAAGTTCATAAACAACAAAAATAAATTAGCATTATGAGTATTTACACAGGTTTTAACATTCTCTCCCTCCCCCCCCTCTCTATCTCCCACTCTTTCTCCCTACCCCCATTTATTACTCTTGTATTTCTCTTGGTTTTCTATTACAATATTACCACTTGTCATCTCTCTCACTTTCTCTCTGTCGCACTACCACAAGGTAGGTAGGTAGGGGGTACGTAAGGTACACAAAACTGCATTATGACGATGGCATTGCGGCCAATTGCTGCTACCGTTAAAGCACGACCACATACACGTTACCCTAGTCACCACTAATACTAGCACAGTATGCTATTGCTGAGCAGCAATCAGGCCTAACGTACCCCAGCAATATGAGGAACGAAAACCAAAAGGGTTGCTATATAATCGACAACGACCTGCGTTACTACGATACAGAAGGGTACTGGCCTGGGGAAGGAATAAATGCAAACTTTGGCGTATGTAAATAACACCTTACTAAAGCCCGGCGCACACGTGAGTAATTTTACTCAAGTAAAATGATGCATGCGTCAAAATACTCACGTGTGCGGCAGATTTTCGTTGAGTATTTTGACGCATGCGTCATTTTACTTGAGTAAAATTACTCACGTGTGCGCTGGGCTTAAGGAGAACATACGAGTTCCTCTAATACGTAATAGTATAAGGTTACAACGACGATAATACAGGAATCGTAATAAAATCTACGACAGTTTCGTGATTCTCTACTCAGTATATAATATCTATCTATACTCCCTGTAACAGACCACGGTAAAATTTAAGAGAACCGAACAACGTGGCAAGTGAATGCATTTACTTAACGTGTGCCCTCCAAATGACATTGTGCATCCGACGCACGAGATCGCAACACAGTCTCGACGTCCATTTCTTGGAAAGAGTAGACCCGTTAGCTGTTTGACTGCCTCCACGGTGAAACTCAACAGCACTCAGGATCCAACGCCGACTCTTGCTATCTTGCTATCTTGCTATCTTGTTGTTTGCACCCCACTCACCTCCAAAGTGCGATAGTGTCACAGATGGCCGGTGGCCACATCTGGCGTGAATGCCAATTTTGCAGTCATTCCCTGCGCCTGTAGATATATAATATATACAAGAATTGTGTCATTATAGCAGGAGTAAGATAATATAGGTAATATAAGATAATATAAGATAATATATCCTATATTATCTTACTCCTGATTATAGTACCACCTCTACTCTCTTCTATCTCTCTCTCTCTATATATATACTCTGCACTGTTGTAGCTATGCTGGTCGGTAATAGCCGGCTCTGGTGTTGGCCGACTTGCACGCAGCTTTAAATAACATCCTTACGACCGGCACAAAAACGATTGAGTTTGTGTAAAATTACCTTCAAAATAGTGAGCAATCTACAAATAATCACAACTGATACACTTAGAATGAATTAAAAAAACAACTCTGCATTTAATCTCAACAATAATTATGCGTAAAATCATCATCTGATCACATCGTACAGCGCACAGTACATGCAGTATAGCTGGCTAAGTACCATGTTGCTATTATAATAATTTATGCATATACGATGCAATCACTGATATTAGCCGGCACTAAAATTGTCCAGGCTACAACCCTGATACTCTGTCTCTCTTTCTTCTCTTGCTACATCACTTTCACTTTCTATTCCTCCCACCTGACTTTCCTTTGCAAATTTGCATTTCAACTACCTTGTTTTACAACTTGCCCTGTGTATACATTTACCATAGAGATTTCCCTCTTCCCATCCAACGCCTCCACCTTAACCAACCCAATATAGGTATCAACCACAGGGTTTTCCTTCTTCTCATTCAGCACCTCCACCTTACTCTATATAGGTAGTGATATTGGTGGTTCCCCTCTTCCCATCCACCTCCACGTGGAATCCTTCCTATGCTCCACCTTACCCTGTATATGTACTGAGCGGGGTTTCTCCTCTTCCTATTCTCCACCTTACCCCGTATATGTACTGACCGTGGGGTTTCTCCTCTTCCTATTCTCCACCTTACCCTGTATATGTACTGACCGTGGGGTTTCTCCTCTTCACATCCACCTCCTCTACCTTACCCCGTATATGTACTGACCGTGGGGTTTCTCCCCTTTCTCATCCACCTCCTCTACCTTACCCTGTATATGTACTGACCGTGGGGTTTCTCCTCTTCTCATCCACCTCCTCTACCTTACCCTGTATATGTAATGACCGTGGGGTTTCTCCCCTTTCTCATCCACCTCCTCTACCTTACCCTGTATATGCCTTCGCCATGGTGACGTCCCTCTTCTAGCAGCTCAGACTCCCAATCTTCACACTCGTCCGCCGGATCGAAGTTGTACAGGGGCATCAGATGGTGTCGGAGTTTGTCTATTCTGCAAGTCAAGTCAGCCGTGATCAATCATGCGCCGTGATGCGGTCGTGCGAATTAGTCCGAGTGTAGCGCTATACTCGTAAGACTAGGGACAGTGATTTTCCGCGATTGCGGAAAACGGACGGAAAACACGGAAACGGCCATTGGAAACGGAAAAGATGTTTTCAAACGGAAAAATGCGGAAAACGTAATTTGAACATATTACAACATGGAAATTTCATGGTGTTTCGGTGCCCTGTGTTGTACCAAATACCTTTTTTTACCATGCAAATATATGTAAACGGAATTTTGCATTTTTAGTGTGTACAATCTCTATGGCAAAACGAAATTTCCATTTTTTCTTTACTTTGAAACGGAATTCATGATTTTCCCAAACGGAAAAGGCAATTTTTTGAAACGAAAAATCACTGTGACTGTCCCTATACAGGCTTCTCCAAGAGCACTTATAGCCTGGTGGCCCCCCAGGCTATCGTCGAGCCCCGCCATTCTAAAATGCACCCGCCACTCTAAATATCATAGCCGCCATGCTGGTGTATACACAAGAAGTTCAAACAATTACCCTAATACACGTTGTTTATATCGGAATAAACTTTGAAGTGATATGCATATTAGCCAGTCCTGCTCCAAAAGTAGCCAGCCCTGCTGAAAAGTTACCAGTCAGGGACTATGGGACCAGCTGCTATTTTCAACACTGGTATATGTCCGGTTTTATGATTTATGAGAGGTGAACTCGATTTGGAACCAGCAAACTAGCAAGTTCACCCCTACATTTTGGTATTTTTATTCCATTATTATTTTGAATTTTCCGATGGCTTTGCCCATGCAAAACAAACATTTTCACCCCACATGCAGTGCTTCAAATTTACACACAGTGTCCCAGATTGCATCTCAAAGCTTCTACAACTCAAACATTTTCCGGGGGGCATACCCCCGGACCCCCCTAGCACGCAAACCGCCTTCGGCAATTTGCAACTAGGACCGTAAAGGCAGCATCCCCATGCTATAATGAAAAAGCTTGGAGAACCCTGCTATAAGACATCCTCGCGGAAATCCCAGCTGGGAGACTAATGCCGTTAGGTGAGGATCAATGCCAACATTAACCGAAGATAACAGCGTTTCCACAACGGCATTCGCTATTGTCGCGCGCTTCGCATTACAACGACGCTTGCATTCGGTGCAGACCGCGCAGAGGCGTGGCGAATCGTGGACGAACTTGTCGCCATATATAATGCATACGCATCCTTATCACTTTTTATTTTTCAACGATTTTCCCCCAGGACGGAAATCCGCGCAAAGACGGAATTCTCTGACGAGCATGACTGCGTTGCGGGTGCACTTACCGATTTTTCTTCACCATGAACACGACCTGAAACAGAAATGCACGAAACACTTAATGTACGCACCGATCGCGAGACATGACGACCACACCTCGCCGCCTGCTCGTTCCCCCGCCCTTAGGCCAAAAGAAAATATAGGTGTGGTTACGGTTTCCCGACCGACCCTATTTATTTCCAACGACCCTAAACATTTAACTGTCAATTTTCTTTAAAGTAAAAAATAAAATTTCAAAATAACAATATGAATTGGACAGTTCCTGCTTCAAAAGGCACAACGCACATCCTTCGGACATGGTTCGTAAATAAAATATTTCAAGAAAATAAAATGTTTTCCCTACCTACCTACCCTATTTTTTTCGGCATGTAACGGTAACCACACATATATTTTGTTTTGGCCTTACCCGGAAGCACGTTAAAGCGAACCTAGCTAGTTATAGTTATAGTTATATTATGTTACGAGCAGAGCACAGACTCGTTGTAGAAACATCTACAGCTTGTTACCACAATCAGATGGGGGGAGTGTGTGTGTGTGTGGGGGGGGGGGCTCCTGCTCACACTAGAACACTGGGATGAACGTCACACTGCCACAGCTGTCCACTTAACTATGGATTCCTAATTGCATGCATAAAATCAATAGCTGGGCCTTGCGCACTCTGCTATTTATAGCACTGGGGCGCCCTTTCTTAGATAGGAAGATGGACTGCTGGTCGCAATACTGCTGTACACTGCCATTATACACTGCTAACAAGAGCCAAGGCTATATCAAGGGAAAGTTTTGGCTGGGGCTGACACCCTGGTGATAGTATCATTCTATCGGGAATGAAGTTGTCAGAAAACTCTGGTGTCAGCCTGCTAGAATTTAGAATTAATCTAACTAATCAGGAATTGCCTATGCTGAGGACACGTGCTTAGAATCTCTACCCTGTCCCCTAATGCAACTGACCTAGGCTTTGCGAACTGGTTTACGTTTTAACAGATTTTTCTTCTTCCCTGATTATTCAGCTCTGGCTCATCTCCGATTCTTCTCGGAGACACAAATCTTGCAAGCTGACTGTATCTGATTGTCTAATGTCTATTGTCTATTGTCTAATGTCTATTGTCTGACTCTAATGTTGCAGTGATCTCACATAGAACGATTTGTGTACAGTATGCAACGCGTTAATGTTACGGCTTGGTAAAACTACTTGGGAATTGCACCGCATTGCTTACATATTGTATTTGAAGTACTCCTGTCTCTAGATTAACAAGAGTGTATGCTGAAACTATATATTATGCATTTACAAAATGTTGGTGCAACATTTATTTCAGAGAAACTAATGATCAGAAGCTGAATTACTTATGCAAACTTATGCGGGATACTTCTACCATCTAGCAGCATTTTTCTAAAATTTTGAAATGTCATTGCTGCCACAACCAGTGGCTTGGTAACATTCTCATGTTCACATTATATTTATGTATACACATGTGTACGTGTGTGTATGTGTATGTGTATGTGTATGTCTGTGTCTCTGCGTGTCTGTGTGTGTGTGCGCGCGCGCATGTGCGTAAGTGTGCATGAGTGTGTGTGCGTGTGCACGCGCGTGTGTGCATGCATGGGTGTGTGTGTGTGTGTGTGTGTGTGTGTGTGTGTACGTACGTGTGTTCATATTGACACGCGGAAGAGCAAAATCACAACTCACCAAAGCGACAAGGAGAACTATCGCGAATAGAACGCCGACGACGCTGCAGATGTAGGTGAGGGCCATCCCGTGCCCCGTGTCCTCCTCGGGCCCCGCCGACGCCCCCGCCACCGTCGTCGTCTTCCCCGCCGCAGCCGGCAGTCCGGTGACGTTGTGCGAGCAGCCATCGCACGTCACGTTCCTCGCGTGATCCG